CAAACGCTCAATATCCTTCTTAAACTAACAACAATCTTTTGTGTGGTGTCCTTTAACTTTATGGAACTTACACCATCTATCAGGTTTAGGTTCCATAACATTCACTTTTGGAGCTAAGGGTATATGTATATCATGTAAGTGGAGAACCTTCCACCAGATTTGTTTATGATGAATGTTCAAGGGCGTGAAACTCTCCACGACTTTGCCAAGTTTCCTTGAATGTTCTTTTGTCCTTGATGAGAAAGGTTTAATTGTTCATCTGTGAGTGCTATGAGCCTTCGACGTTGTGAACACACTCTTTTACACCACATGCCTTTTTCTCTGCATCACTTTCATCGCTCTTTATGTAACATTCTTCCCTTTTAAGAACCTTTACTTATGAAGATGTTGGCCTTTGGGCGAGGGACTTGTTGAAGTTCCCTGATTTGAGGCCATTTTGAAATGCTCATTCAAACATTTCTTGCTTAAGGTGAACGAATCATATGGTGGCTTTGTTGAAATGGGCAAGGTATTCCTCCATTGAATTTGAAGGGCCTTGCCGAATGTTAAACAAGTTGATGGTGGACATATTTCTATGTCGATTGACCATAAATTAGTGCATGAGCTTCTTCACCAGCTCCTGGTAGTTGGCAATGGAGAACTCAAAAGTTACCAACACAAAGAACACAATTCATGTCGACTTAATTCCTGAACCAACCTTCTTGGTGTTCATGCCTAGGTTTCAGACCTTCTTTAACTTGAGGCTTTCCATATAACATTTCCTGTCGACTTCTTGGTCTCTTTGGATGATTCTGACATGTGCGCCAGAGAGCAGGTATTTCATGCACCAATATGAAATAGACAAGGTAACGTCCAACTGATTAAAAGTTGGTCAGCAAATGATCATATTATAGTAAGAGAAGGCGTCTATAACCAGATACCTGAGTTTGATCGGCTTGGCTTATTCCCCCGCTCCATATATGGTATTTAACATTATGTAGCCTTTCATGTGTACCATCTTATTAGAGAACAAAAATAACGACCTTTTAAAAGCTTTAAGGTCATCATGATCGAGGAAGAGTCTCTCAAATTCATCCCAATAGATCATATTTGTCGACCTCCCTTAATCTACATAAACATTTTTTGATTTCTCAATCATGGCACCTCACGGTGATGACCATGGGATCATCGTTGTGGGGAAGGATACATGCTGTATCTTTTTCTAAAAAAGCAATTTCAACCTCTAGATCCTTGTCTCACTTTTTTTTTGGATATATGGGTACATCCTCTATATTTAATATTTGGAAGACATATCTTCTCTAATCGGAACTAGTTTCTGCGCCCTAATCGAATCCTCCTACAATTACATTGAGCGTATGGTGCATGACCTTATCACCTTATTCTTTGGATGGTTCCTTACCCTTTATAGATCCGGGGCTTCCAATATCATCACACCTGCGGGAATTGGCCCCACCTAATCCTTGAGAGGAGTCACCCTTGACATATTCTTATGGAGACCATTCTGGATCAAGCGCTCAATCTCCTTCTTAATCTGGTAGCAATCTTCTATGTGGTGTCCTTAACTTTATGGAACTTACACTATATGCCAGGTTTAGGTCCCATAACATTCACTTTTGGAGCTAAAGGCATATGTATATCATGTAAGTGGAAAACCTTCTACCAAATTTATTCATGGAGAATGTTCAAGGGCGTGAAACTCTCCACAACTTTGCCACTTTCCTTGAACATCGCTTTGTCCTTGATGAGCAAGACTAATTGTTCTTCCGTGAGTGCTATGAGCCTTTGATGCTAGGAACACACTCTTTTACGTCACATGCCTTTTTCTCTGCGTCATTTTCGTCGCTCTTTATGTAACATCTGCCCTTGTAAGCACCTTTACTTACAAAGATGTTGGCCTTTGGGTGAGGGACTTGTTGAAGTTCCCTGCTTTGAGGCCATTCTGAAATGCTCCTTTGAACATTTCTCGATTAAGGTGAACGAATCATATGGTGGCCTTGTTGAAACGTGCGAGGTATTCCTTTAGTGACTCTGAAGGGCCTTGCTGAACGTTAAACAAGTTAGTGGTGGAAATTTTTCTATGTCAATTGATTGCAAACTAGTGCATGAGCTTTTTCACCAGCTTCTGGTAGTTGGCACTAGAGAACTCAAAAGTTACCAACGCAAAGAACATACTTAAGGAGTTCTCAAATGAGCATTTGTTTGTAGGGATTAAAAGGACATGGTTTGTTGATACTGATACATTTAAAGCCAGAAACATTATTCTAGATGAGTTCACATGGAAACAAAAGAAGAAATTCTATAAGGAAGTAAATTTTTATCTGCAGGATAATCCATATTTGTTTAATGTGAGTCCTGATGGTTAGATTAGGAGGTGCATTACTGGTAAGGAACCAAGAAATATTATATGGCACTTCCATAGCTCACCTTATGGTGGTCATCATGGTGGAGAATAACCACTATGAAACTTCTCCAATGCAGTTTTAGCTAGCCTATTATATTCAAAGTTTGTGTAGAATTTATTCAACACCGTGATAAATACCAAAAGACATGTAGTATGACTAAATATGACAAATATGTAGTATGACTAGATATGCCAAAAGACTGTGATAAATTTTTAGAGAATTGATTTTGTTATTCGAAAAAACAATTATACAATTTATTGTTTGTTTATCTATTTATAATTTTTATTATATTTTAATATAATATTACCTTTCTTTTGTAAAAAAAATAATTTTTTTTAGGTGCTAAGTCATATGAATTTAAATTAATAAAAAAATAATAATTTTTTTTAGGTGCTAAGTCATATGAATTTAAATTAATAAAGAAAATGTTAAAAAGTGTGCACCTTAAACTCTTTTGTTAGTATTATTCTAATTTATGTGTGACGTATTTGGATACAGAAAAAAAAGAAATCAACAACCATATTTTGATCTAGCATTGCATATACTTACTATATTTTATTTTGTTTTTAACAACTTGGGCTTATTATTTATAAAATTTGCAATTTTCACATTACAAACTTTTCAATGTTAAAACCCGGTTCAATATACTCGATCAACACAATCAATGAAATAGGTCCATGTTCTTATCTTAAAACAGATTTTATTTATTACTACTATTAAATATAAACAAAAAAAAAATACATTTAGCCCGAAAATGTCAACAAGGAAGACAAACCATAAAGACTTAAAAATATGATAAACAAATATTATTTTCATGTATATACCAATGTCTACGCACATTCAAATATGTTAGGAATAAAGGAATAAAACAATAAAAAATGAAATAAAATTAATGAAAAAGTGAATCCAAGTTTGTGAAACTCAATAGCATGAAGAAAAGAATCAAGTTATAAATATACAGCATTTAATTTACAGCACAGTCAAAACCAACAAGAACACATCAAAGTTCGCACACACTTGACGCTCCTCACACGTGTCTACATGTCTTTCTTCTACTTTATATATAAAATAAAATAAAATTTTAATTTTAATTATAAAAAAAAGTAAATTAATTTTAAAAGTTCAAAAATGTTAGTACTATATAAGCCGCGTGAGTTGAATGTAAATGCCAGTTTGTACAATTTTTTCTCTCTTTTATTTCGTTGAATTTTCCTTTTTTTTTTTTTCAACCTAATCTAACAAGTGCCAGTGAATCGTGATCTTTCTTCCACACTCTCAAACCTAAACCTTGTCTGTGTTGGACCCACTGAATAGAGAAAATAAAAATAAAAAAATAAAAAGGCATAGTTTTCCATATTTAACATAAAAAAACATGAAACCAAAACCACTTAACCTTCTGCCGACGATTTTGAACCTTACTTTTTGTTTCTCATCTAAAAAAAACAAACCAAAAAGAATCTCTACTCAAATTCTTATTTTTCAATACTAATTAGACAAATTATTAACTATTACTAACATATAAACTTCCACTAAGTACAACTCTATAAGTAAGTTTCAAAATTAAATTTATAAATTCAAAATAATTAAATTAATTATACAAAATTAAACTAAACAATATGATATAGTCAATTAAAGTTGACCATCTAAAAATCAAACCAAATAATAAATTTATTTTATTTTACAATATTTTGCATATATTATTTTACTAATTAAATATTTGATACAAATATTTATTTTCTAAAAATATATTGCTTAAACATTAAAACTGTCAATCAGAATAATAAAAGTCATTCTTTATTAAACTTCAATAAAAATATTACAAACATTATTTAAAAAAAATCTATAAAAAGAAAATTTATTTGAAAAACATAAGTAGAATAAGACTTCAAATTAAAAGTGTTTGTTAGTAACATTTTTTTGTTAGTTTTCTAAAAGAAAGAATATATTTTTCTTCTCTTTTTCATTTTTATACATTTATGTTGAACAAAAAATTCCAGTGGAGACAGGCAAATGCCACCACCATCACAGGCTGGGTCCCACCTTTCACCTCACTCTTTACTAACTCTAACTCCAAACTCTTAACTCCTTAATTTCTATTATACTACATACTAATTTTAATTAGTAATTAATTAAAATAAATTAGTATATGTTATTTTTTTCTCTTTTATTTAATTTAACAATAATCTCACCTTTCTTTCATTCATTGCTTTAAACTCTCTCTCTCTTTCTCTCTCTCTGTGTCTCTTCTCTCTTCTCTTCTCTCCCTTTGTATTCCTACGCGTCTTCATTTCCATTCACAACACTCTCTCTCTCTAAACATTGCCATAGATTTGGACCAGAGCAAGACGGTGTTGTTGCCTTCTTAAGGAACAATCCAACTACAATTCTTCAACTTCTCTAAAATATTTATTTATTTTCTTTCAAATTTTTTCGATCCGTTTCTGGGTTTTTGTCTGATGAAGGTTTTGTGTTGTTTAAGAATGCAAAATTGGATCTTTATGTGATTTAAGTTACTGGGGTTTTTCGATTGAAACAAGGGTTGGTGACTACTGTTGTACTACCTAGTTCGTGAGTTGTGTTGTGTTGTGAGTGTCAGTGATGCATACCGGTGGTAGACTCATTGCTGGTTCTCACAACAGAAACGAGTTTGTGCTTATCAATGCCGAAGAAAATGGAAGGGTACTCTTTTTTTCTCTCTCTCTCGGTTTTGAATCTTATCTTAATTTTGTAGGTTTTTCTCTTTCAATTGTTTTATGTAAAAAAGTTTGATTTTTGTTTTGTTTATTTTCTTTTTCTGGGATTTTCTCTCTCTGTCGGTGGTGGGTTTTGATTCAATTTTGCATTTTGATGCAACTTCTGTCGGTTTGTTGTTGTTTTCTACTACCCTTTTATTAGTTGGGAGAAGGGTTTCTTCAGATTTTGTGAATTTTAGATGTTGTCTTGATTTCCATGGATTTCAAGAAATTGGGCTTGGGAGCTTCATAATTGAGTTAGATTTGGTTGATTGTGGTACACTCTTTTGAGAGTTGACTATTGTATACCGTCTTTGGTTGTTACAATGCACAAGTTTTTTCACGGATTATGCGCTTTGAGTTGTGAAGTTAGTAGATTGATTGATTGACTTGTGAGATTTGAATGATTGTAATTGATTTTTTATCACTTATGGGAAGATTTAATTTTGATTTACAGGTTGCTTGTGATGAAGCTTTCTAAATATCAATTAGATTTATAGATTTGTCTTTTTGTAACATTTTCATAGGGAAATAATTCATTTTATTAATGACGAATGTTCATGATAAGTCGGATCATTATTAATTCACAGAATTGTAAATCAGGTGCAAATTAGATTAACCTCTCTATTTCTTGGTTTGGTTCTTCTCAGATTAAGTCAGTTCGCGAACTGAGTGGGCAGATATGTCAGATTTGTGGAGATGAGATTGAGGTTACTGTCGATGGGGAGCCCTTTGTTGCTTGCAATGAGTGTGCTTTCCCTGTTTGCCGGCCTTGCTACGAGTATGAGAGGAAAGAAGGGAATAAGGCCTGCCCTCAGTGCAAGACCAGATACAAACGCCTCAAAGGTGAGATCAAGATCAATTTGTATTCCTCTCTTTGATTTGGTAAATCGATTGCTTCTGTTGTAGACATTCTTTTATACAGTCTTACTAATTGATGAAATACAGGTAGTCCAAGGGTCGAAGGTGATGAAGAAGAGGATGGTATTGACGACATAGACAATGAATTTGATTATGAACTTGATGAATTTGGCCAGCAACCACATTCAGATTCATTGTTTTCCGGTCGCCTTAACACTGGACGTGGTTCTCATACTAATATATCTGGTGCAAATTCAGAACATGGATCGCCTCCTCTCAATCCTGAAATCCCCCTACTGACTTATGGGGAAGAGGTATATCTTTGAATTCCATTTTTGACGTGTCTCATTTCAACTAAAGTACTGCATTACTTAATGTCGGCGGCAAAATTGATCCCTAGTATAACACTCTTGGCTATTATTTTATAGGATCCTGAGATATCTTCTGATAGACATGCTCTAATTGTTCCACCATACATGAATCATGGAAACCGAGTCCATCCCATGCCTTATACGGACCCATCTGTTCCACGTGAGTTTTGTATAATTTTGCTTAGATTGTATTTTGGTACGTTTTGTACCATATTTATAAATTGGCCCACCCTTATGCTTCTTTTGTAATAGTGCAACCAAGACCGATGGTTCCCAAGAAAGATATTGCTGTATATGGATATGGAAGTGTGGCTTGGAAAGATCGAATGGAGGAATGGAAGAAGAGGCAGAGTGACAAACTCCAAGTGGTGAAGCATGAAGGCGATGGCAAAGATGGAACTTTCAGTGATGACCTCGACGACCCTGATATGCCCATGTAAGAATCAAATAATTGTATTTCTTTAATTTTTTTAGATATATTTTGTGCTTTGCTTATTAGTAATCTTTTGTTGATATATTATTTCAGGATGGACGAAGGCAGGCAGCCACTTTCTAGGAAACTACCAATTCCTTCTAGCAAGATAAATCCATACAGGATTATTATTGTGCTTCGTCTCGTAATCCTCGGGCTTTTTTTCCATTATAGAATTCTCCACCCAGTTAATGATGCATATGGCTTGTGGCTGACTTCAGTCATCTGTGAGATATGGTTTGCTGTATCTTGGATAATGGATCAGTTTCCAAAATGGTATCCGATAACGCGAGAAACATACCTTGATCGTCTATCACTGAGGTAATTGAGCCTACCTATCATATCTGTAGATTCTATTTTTCATTCATGGTCCTTTTATGTTGCTCAATATTGGATTTTTACTTCGCTGCAGGTATGAAAAAGAAGGGAAACCATCTGAATTGTCCAGTGTAGATGTCTTTGTCAGTACTGTGGATCCCATGAAAGAACCTCCACTGATTACGGCGAACACTGTTCTATCTATCCTTGCTGTTGATTATCCGGTTGATAAAGTTGCATGCTATGTCTCAGACGATGGTGCTGCTATGCTCACTTTTGAAGCACTTTCTGAGACATCTGAATTTGCTAGGAAATGGGTTCCATTTGTCAAGAAATATAATATTGAGCCCCGTGCCCCAGAATGGTATTTTGGTCAGAAGATGGACTATCTCAAAAATAAAGTGCATCCGGCATTTGTTAGGGAAAGAAGAGCAATGAAGGTTTCAACTTTTTCTACTTTTAGTTTTTCTTTGTTGTCCTTGTTAGTGGGAAAAGGATTTGGTTGTGGTCTTTGTTGTTACTGAACAATGCATCATTTGACACTGTTAATGACTTTTATCTCTTTGGTTGTTACAGAGAGATTATGAAGAATTTAAGGTGAGGATTAACAGTCTTGTGGCAACAGCACAGAAGGTTCCTGAGGATGGATGGACCATGCAAGATGGGACTCCTTGGCCTGGAAATGATGTGAGGGATCATCCCGGCATGATTCAGGTAAGAAGATACACAGATTTTAATGCATATATGCTATAATTTTGTAATTTAGGTAGGATCAGACGATTCGTGTTACAATCCTTATGATTTTCACCGCCTTTCCGATCTACTTACAAATTAGAAAAAATGTCATTCATTTTTATTTTACAGGTCTTCCTTGGTCATGATGGTGTCCGCGATGTTGAGGGAAATGAGTTACCTCGCTTAGTTTATGTTTCTCGTGAAAAAAGGCCAGGGTTTGATCACCACAAAAAGGCTGGTGCAATGAATTCTCTTGTAAGTCTCGATTTACTTCTATTTTGGTTCCAGGTTCAAACTGATGATGATTCATTGGCCTTTGAAAACATGTTTTTGGTAATAATAGTAATAAATGAGTATAAATATTTGAAGGTACGGGCGGCAGCAATCATCACAAATGCACCTTATATTCTGAATGTTGATTGTGATCACTACATTAACAATAGCAAGGCACTTAGAGAAGCCATGTGCTTTATGATGGACCCTCAACTTGGGAAGAAGATCTGCTACGTACAATTTCCTCAAAGATTTGATGGAATTGATAGACATGATAGATACTCCAACAGAAATGTTGTATTTTTCGATGTAAGTTTTTGCTTCTTCGATTCCTTGCTTCTGTTACTTTTTTTTCTTTCTTCCTTTTATCATGACTAGTTTACTACCTGATTGAAAACAGATCAATATGAAAGGATTGGATGGATTACAAGGTCCAATTTACGTTGGAACTGGATGTGTTTTCAGAAGGTATGCACTTTATGGATACGATGCACCAGCCAAGAAGAAGGCGCCAAGTAAAACCTGCAACTGTTTGCCAAAATGGTGCTGCTGGTGCTGTGGCTCTCGAAAGAAGAAGAATCTCAACAATAAGAAAGATAAAAAGAAGAAGGTAAAGCATAGCGAAGCATCAAAGCAGATACACGCACTTGAAAATATAGAGGCAGGGAATGAAGGTTAGAATTTCGGATCAATTGGCTGTCCTTACTAAATGTAAACAAACTTTATGCGAGAAATTTTGGTTGATAACAATAAATGCTAACTATGTTTTGCTGCAGGAGCCATCGTTGAGAAACCATCCAATTTGACTCAATTGAAATTGGAGAAGAGGTTTGGACAATCTCCCGTGTTTGTAGCCTCTACACTTTTGGATAATGGTGGAGTTCCACATGGAGTGAGTCCTGCATCACTTTTAAAAGAAGCCATTCAAGTTATCAGTTGTGGTTATGAAGACAAAACCGATTGGGGAAAAGAGGTAAACATCAAAGATTGTTTTTTTCCTTCTAATTCTTAAAAGCTAGTCTTCTTGTTGCCTTGAGTGCGAGGTCAGTGATATGAGTCTTGTCATGCATGATTTTTATTTCTTGTGCTCACAATTATTGGCTTGAACTTGAACTAGGTTGGATGGATTTATGGTTCTGTGACAGAGGATATCTTGACTGGTTTCAAAATGCATTGCCACGGTTGGCGGTCTGTATATTGCATCCCTAAGCGTCCTGCATTCAAGGGGTCAGCACCTATCAATCTTTCAGATCGTCTACATCAAGTTCTTCGTTGGGCTCTTGGTTCTGTTGAGATCTTTTTCAGCAAACATTGTCCAATTTGGTATGGCTATGGTGGTGGGTTGAAATTGTTGGAACGATTTTCCTACATAAATTCAGTCGTATATCCCTGGACTTCCCTCCCATTGATCGTCTATTGTACTTTACCAGCCATATGTCTTCTCACCGGAAAATTTATTGTGCCTGAGGTATGCAAATATTTTTCTTTCATTGCTTAAGGAATTAAGAAACAAGTAAATGTAGTGCTTTGTTTTTCCAATATATAGAGCCTGTTTGGATAAACAACTTAATGAAGTGCTTATCATATAAGCGTGTTTGAGTAAACTATTTCTATAACAAAAGATTAACTAAATTCAAACTGTTTTCATAAGCTACTCTTAAGAGTTTGTGGAAATAAGCTGAAAGTAGCTTATTGACATGTCATAAATTGTTTTCATAAGCTCTCAAACAATCTTACAAGTGCTAATGCTAGTAGATGCTAATCCAAACAGCTCCCCAATATTTGAAGAATAGTAATCATAGCTCTTAACATACCATGTTTGTTGCATTTGATATGTGCAGATAAGCAACTATGCAAGTATTGTGTTCATGGCCCTCTTCATATCCATTGCAGCAACGGGCATCCTCGAGATGCAATGGGGTGGTGTTGGAATAGATGATTGGTGGAGAAATGAACAGTTTTGGGTGATTGGAGGTGCTTCATCACATCTTTTCGCACTTTTCCAAGGTTTACTCAAGGTTTTAGCTGGTGTCGACACAAACTTCACCGTTACATCAAAAGCAGCCGACGACGGAGAATTCTCAGAGCTCTACATCTTCAAATGGACCTCGCTCTTAATCCCTCCGATGACATTACTGATAATGAATATTGTTGGTGTGATTGTCGGTGTCTCAGATGCCATCAATAATGGTTATGACTCATGGGGACCTCTGTTTGGTAGATTATTCTTTGCCCTTTGGGTCATCATACATCTTTATCCATTCCTCAAGGGTTTGCTTGGGAAACAAGATAGAATGCCAACCATTGTGTTGGTTTGGTCCATCTTGTTAGCTTCCATCTTGACCCTCTTGTGGGTTAGAGTTAACCCTTTTGTTTCAAGAGACGGTCCTGTGTTAGAAATTTGTGGATTGAATTGTGATGATACATGAATAAATGAAGGTGTTTATGAAGAAGCATTTGAATACGACACGCTTCACATCACAAAAAACGCGTTGCACAAATTTTTGGATGGAAGTTGTATTTTTTCGGTGGTGTGTGTAGATAAAGAGGAAGAGGAAAGATAATGGAAGGGAAAGAAAAGGGGGAGTTTGACACATTGTTGCCTGCAATAGAGGTTTTCTTTTCATTTATTCTTTGATTATATTTTCTGTGGTTTTTAAGTGTTGTTGTTATTCTCTTTTTATCTTTCTAGTTGTTTCACTTTCATGTATTCTTATATAAGAAAGAGGCATTGAATTATATATGATAAGTTATTCCCTCTTCAAAACAGAGGGATAAGCAGTCTCAAGAATTAGAGTTATGTCATATTTTAAGGTATGGTTTTTTGTTGAAACCTTTGTGACATGAGAGATTTCTTCCTCATTTGTAATACCATCAGCTATGGATATTCTTGTTCCTCCTCTCACATGTTGTTTATGTTTTCATTCTTCACACTGTATGAAACTTTTGGTTAGATACAATCAATGTTTGATGTCACTAGAAACTTGTGATATGCTAGTAGTACTATTGTATAACATTCTCCTACATATATGTTGCATGAATTAAATATTTATTTAAACTTGTGATGTGCTTGATGTCCACTCATTTGGTGTGTGGAGTTACGTATGATGGTAATTAACTAGTACTTTATCTCTATGCTATTCTGAGCATTGCACTTTAATATAACCTTACTCTCCATCTTTGTCACAAAAATGGCTAAGAAACATCCATGCCTATTCATATAGATAATTGGCTGTCTATTTTTATACATTTGTTTATTCATAGATTTATTTCTTTATCATTCTCTCTTTTCTCACATTAAGAAAATATGTTGTTAACAAGTTAATTAGTAGACTAAAGTTAAGTCTAGTGGAGAGACTAGACTTTCCACAACGTGACAAATCAATGCTTCATGATAATGTATTGGATTGTTCTAGGACACATTAAGGTAGATTAAGCCAAAAGTGAAATGATAGTAAAATAGCCATTTCTGGTTAGTGTCAAAGCAGATAGCTGTCAAACCATTTTAAGCCTCCTAATTAAGGAAAAATATAAATATAAATATTTTTTTTTTATGTATGATGCTAATACTATGCGTGAAGCATTTTCGGGGGCATATATCTGATTCTTTTAATACATTTTTCTATGTTTGTAAAGTTATTAATAGAAATTAAGTTAATTATGAAACAGGGTAAGTGACGGATCTAGAATTTTTTTTAATGGAGGCTAAAATATAGTTCATGTATTTTGATTAGCAAAAAATGTTACGAATGTTATACATCAAAACTTATGGGTTGGGAGAGAGAGAGGAATTTTGGAGAGATAGAAAGAAAACCATATACAATTTCCTCTTTAAAGGCACTCAAGCCTAACCAAAAACTTATATACATTACAATTGGATGAGGTGTTGGAAGTCTCATTCAGGTTATTTATTCAGAGATTTTGATGCTAAAATTTTAAGAAGAATTTACGATCTATTATGATTCTAAAAGATTTGAGAGATTAATTTCTTTAAAAGATTTGAGAGATTAATTTCTTCAATTGCGTGTAAAAGATATTCAGTTTATATAGTTTTTTTTTAAAGATTTTAGGCAAGAAGAATGTAGAGTTAAAAGATAGAGCAGGGGATTTATTATTTTTAATAAATTTTAATAAATAATTTTATAATTTTTTTTATAATCAATATATTTTTAAATGTTTTCTAAGTTTATATTAAATTTACTTAAAAAAAATTGAAATAGTAAAAACGTAAACTGAATAATTATACATCAATACTATAAATAATTTCATGGGTCAGGAAAATTAATATTATGAAATAGAATTCTACTTCTTGTTTTTAGAGGAGAGCGATATCGTGTTTGAACTATAGCAAAATTTCGGAGGATTTTTTTTTTGTCTTCTCCTTAAATATTCTATTAGAGTTTAAAAGAAAATATTAACTACATGGGTTCATTCGGTGCTGACCATCAACTTGGAACTTCCCATGGTCAGCTCTTCTTCATTAAATGACTTCTATGTCTTCATCTTCAATCTCAAGCACAATTCATTTGCACAAGCTCTTTAAAATATGTCTACCAATTTCTAATTTGTCAAGTCTCAAACTCAAAATTAAACGGTCTCTCGATCAATATATCTGAAAAGACTTACATAGTAGGTCTCAAACGCTGCAGAAATAATTTACATAAGAGATTAGTAAAGGTAACATGTCACTGAAGGCATCAAAATTACATGACAAATTCAAGAAATTATGGAGGTTAATCACTAATTGAGTTTTAACTCTTCTGAAATGTGGTAATTTTGAACTTTAATTGAAATCAAGAGAGGATCTCAACAAAATCTGAAGTGTAAAGCATGGAATGTTAAACACTCGCTCCAACATTTGTCTATGTGGATGTTAAATTTTAGATTTGAAAATTTGAAGATTACACATGCTCAAGTGTGACTAAGGATACCAAGGATCAATATGATGGCTCTGTGGGCTTTGTCTATCGTCACCATTTTCTTTTTTGCCGTTTGGGCAACATTCATCTTTTTCGATTCTTTCAACGCATCTAACAAACTTTGTTGAACAAGAAGGACTTGCATCTTCAAGCACCATAGACTAAAATCATTCACTCTGGTGAATTTCTCAATCTCATACTTTGTTACCGGCATCTTCTCCTCCATGCTCACCGCACTAATTGTTGCGAAGACGATGCCTAAAAAACAGAGTATGATCGATTTCTTTATCCGCAAGAAAAATCACAAAGTGAGAAAAAAGAGAAGAAGAAAATGATTTAAAGTGGTATAAAACTCTGAATTCTTTTATTCAATTACACATAGGGAATAATGTTTGCAATTGAATCTTAACCATATCACTTTCTCCTCTAATCAAGATTATTGAGAAGTGAGGACTAGTATCATATTTATAAGAAAAATAAATCCTAATTTTCAACTATCATACCAATTGAGTTAACAGACTGACCTAATTCAACATTATACTAACAACCTAACATATCTCGACAACTCAACTAACTCTTTGACTTCGACATAATTTACTACAATACTAACTTATAACCCTTAAGCTACATCGTTAATCTAGAACATAAGACTTTGGCAGAGGATCTAAGGTACTCATTCACTAGTATGTATTTAATCATTTTCGATGATAACAAAATAAAAAGGTTTTCCTTCTATAATAAATTAGTTTGACCTTACCTCTTTTATCTCCACCACCACATCATCTATAACAACACGAAGCCCATTGGAATCAACCTTCATTAAACTCTCCATTTTATGTTGGTTGAAATCAAATCCTCCATAGTTTTTACCAACTTCTTGAAGGTTGGAAGTGGTATAACATAAAGGGAAACTCCATCATCCACAATACTCATCTAAATATCTTACCATCAATTGATGCTTTGATGGACTCATATGTTTTACAATGTCTTGAATAGGATTTTCAAAATACATGTCATTTTTCTCCTTGTTTTACGCTAATGTGATCCATTCACTATCTTCCACAAACACATCTCCTTCCATTTCCCTCTGTTGAGAATCATTTCCTTAAAATTCAAGAGAAATGGGGTCATGATGTCTATTTCAAGCACGATATCGTATGAGTTCATTTAAGAGGAGGTCCAATACCAAATCTATGTGGACCTCGGGATGATTACCCCATTTGTCATCTCCTAGTTCTATGAAGTCAGTTAAGGCTACCATATTTTTGTAGTCAACTTCCTCTTTAAGCGTCTGCAATTGTTGAGTTTTACTAACATCATCAGCTATTGGTTTGGGTCATTTGAGGATGAGATCAAGGGTATCAAGAATGTGCTCATTGAAAGCTTTAGGTGCTTCAAATCTATACACATTGTGATTTTCCACATCGTGTATTTTAGACATTAACGAGAGTCACCGTGCCTAACGTTCCAAAGGGAAGTCCTTGTTGATGATACCTAATACTTCATGTGAAGATGTTTTCTTATTTTCTTGGCCTTAGAATTCAACTTCAACTATTATATATGGAGTGGTCTTAGAATTCACTTTGGGATTGACCTATTCATATGTGTTCTATGTTTCAATACCCTTGGATTATGTATAATGGGGGTGTTGAAAAAATTATTCAATAGTTGAATATGTGCAATGGAGTGTTGAATAAAGAGTTTAAAGTGAGGTAGATTAATTGGTGTTGAAAATATTCAATATGTTGAATAAGGAGAGAGTGAAACCACATATAATACTTTGCAAAATCTTATTGGTTGTTGTGATTGTTTAGATTTTTAATTCACCTTAATTATTTGGAATCAATTATTTTATAATAAATCAATTATTTATATATTTTTATTTTCACCAAAATTCATCATTATTTTGTTTATAAAAAGAGATTTGGTTCATTTGATTTGGTCACACAACAAAATTCACTTTTCTCTCTATTTTTTCTATTTAACCTCCAATAAATTATTATTTTATCCACTTTTATTTATTTTAATAATGACTATCCCTATAAAATTAGAAAAAAATTCAAATAAATTAAGAAGATAAAACTAGAAAAAAAAATTAACATAAATTATTTAACTCTTAATTATTTTAATTTTTATTTCAATCGATAATGGATATTAATATAAAATCATAAAGACAAAAATAAAAATAAAAATATGAAACAAAAGTGGTAGAGTAGGGTGTTGAATTTTACTAAACAAAATCATTGTAGTGAGTAAAAGTTGAATGAATGTTAAATTATTAGGTAGAAGAAAGAGAAAATGACGTGAAATATAAAAAGTGAAAAAAAGAAAATATTGAATATATAAATCATTGTACATAGTCTTAATAGAGCAGTAACATGTGAGAATGTGTCCTCCATTGTCTTATTTATGACTCATTCTTCTTTAAAAGATGTTGGTCGGGGCTTAAACATTTTTTGTGCTTCTAACTCTCCATGATCTTTATGTTTTATCTTTAGACACAATATTTC